GCCCCGACGCGTTGCTCGGAGAGCTCCAGCCACTTGTGAGCCCACACCTGCAGGAGGGACCAAGGGCCACCCACCTCATGGAGCTGCTGCTGCTGGGGAGCAAAGGCAGCCCCAGCTGGGGGGGGAGCAGAGCAGTGTGCCCCTCACCTCGAAGCGGGCCCAGTCCCAGGACGTGTTCCAGTGCGTGGGTCGCTGGAGGTGCCCAAACTGGATCTCGTAGGTGGCATTTGGGCTCCGGACCTGCACGGGGAACTCCACCTTCAGGAACTTGTGAGCCTCCTTCCACTCAACCTAAATGTGGTAGCAGAACATGACTGTCACAGGGGGGTTTGAGAAGCTGGTCACACTCCAGCCAGACCAGGTACCAAAAAGAGCCTGAACACAGATGAACTGGTGGGTCTCTCCCCCACCCTCACCCTCAGGAGCCCCACCCTTGGGCTGTCTTCCCCTAAGACAGAGGAGGACAGACAGTGGGGGGGCTCCAGGGGAGGAAACAGGTGATGTTCAGCTCTCCAGGGCCCTGCCTGAGCAGCAGGGATGTCTGTAGGGCGCAGCAGCCACCGGCCAAACCTGGGTCAGGAAGCGCAGGAACGGGCACGTGGCATCCAGGATGATCTCCTGGGTTAAGGTGCTGCTTTCCCCAACCTGCAGGGAGAAGCTGGCACTGCCCCGCAGGCCCCCAGCCAGGGTGATCTCCAGGGGCTTCAGCAGCCCTGTCACTGGCTTCCTAGGGAAAGGGATGAAGGCAGAGCTGGTAGGTCCAGGCTCCCAAACCCTAGTCCAACCTCCCACACAGCAGGCACCCGTGTCTCTGGAGGGAATGCTCTGTGACAGCTTTTCTTACAGCTGGGACTGGGGAAGGACTGGGGAGGGAGGCAAGAACCCCAGGGCACAGCCAAAACCCAAGTGCTGCATGCACTGCTCCACTACCTGGTTTCCAAGTGATAATCCATCACATCCCAAGCATCCCAGTACAGGGGAACGTCATCAAAGAGTGCAAACTGGTTGGCACAGCAGCCATCTGGGACTGACTCTCTGGAATTGATGGGAAAAGAAGAAACAGCAGCCTAAGAACTGGCAGTGGTGAGGGGCTGGCAGTGAGAAGACCTGGGAGAGGAGTGAGGAGGCTGGTTCCAGGTGAGACACACACCTCTGGGAGCCCAGCAGTCGGAGGGAGGTCAGGCGCCCCATGGCATCCAGGCAGGCTGCAATCACCCCGTTCTCCATGGTGATGGAGCCATCCTCCTGGGGTGTGGGGAGGACAGAAACCTTTGAGGGGGGTGCCCAGCACCCCGGCTGCAAACCCAGGGTGTGGCCTTGCTGGGTGCTGGATTCCCTCCCTCTCTCCCCCCTCAGCCTCTGACGGAGGGGACACCGACCTGAGGACAAGTGCTGTTGTGCTCACCTGTTTCCTCACTGCCACAGGCTGGGGGGGCAGCAGTGGCTCCCTCACTATCACGTAGCCCATGCTGGGGACTGTCACCAGAGCTGGAAAGCAAAGAGGTTCTCTTCCAACATCTAACCCTAACTCACACTGGGCTGCCCTGCTGCTCTCACGTCACACCCACCCACCTCCCTTTGCACCCTCCTTCTTCACCCACAGTTCAGAGACAACTTGAAGCACCAGCAGTCCCAAGAAGTTCTGGCCCTGAGTCAGACATACCTAAAGCCTCTGCTCCAGCTGGCCCAGGCCTGGAGATCACCTCGGTGCGTTCCCAGGGCAAAGTGTTCAACACGAGGGTGCTCTGGGTGCTCCCTGCCCCGGGCTGCAGCAGCTCCTGGCACAGGGACTGCACAGCCTCCTCCTGCAGCTCAGCCCCAGCCCTGCGGATCTCTGAGCCACAGAAAGGACCTGGCCAGGTCACTTCTCACAGCCCAGCCAGTTCCTGGCACTCTCGTGCACTGTACACACATTTCAGCTACTTCCAAGCTACAATTACCAATTATCATTGCTATGAATTACTGTTACCTATTAGTAAGCCATGGAAGTTTATCATCACTCTTTGTTAGCATTGTTATGACAAGATTACAAGGAGCTAAGCCAGCTCAGCTGGAAAACTGGAGCTATCACAAGGAAAGCTACTGGCAGGGCTGGAGCAAACTCCAGCTCCCCCATTTTCCAGGGTCTGTCCTGGCCACACCAGCAGAGAAGTCAAGAACTTGTGTTGCTTTTTAAGCCCTTGGCTCCCTTGCCAATTCGCTGTGGAGTTAACACTCTCACAGACACATCTCTGCACAGGTTTGACCCACAGCTCCTGGCAGTCCAGGCCTGAACCCTCTGCAGCCCCAGCAGGGGCTCAGTGTGTTCCAGCAGCCAAGCACCCTCCTACCCACCTGCATAGTATTCCAGGGCATCCTCAACCACCTGCTGGATACAGCTGCCTGGCAGAACATCATGGAACTGGTTGAGCAGCAATAACCTGAAAGGGAACAGAAACCAGGTGAAGAAGCAGAGGAGAGCACCAGAATTGTCCTGCCAGGCCCAAGAGGGACAGACTTCACTGCTTTTCCCACAGCACCCTTTAAATCCCTTTGATTTAGGACTTCCCAACTGTCATCTCATCAACTTGCAGCCATGAAGATTTAAGAGCCAATTTTTTTTTTAATCCCTTGGGGCTACCAGATCTGTTATGGCCCAAGTTTGGACAAATCCAACCTGGTAAGGAAGAAATTTAGGTCAGAAATGAAGTTTCCAGCCCACAGAGCCCTTTGAAGTTCAGTCTGACTGGTCCAAGCTCATTTGAGTGCACTGATACCAAGGATGCTCAGGCAGGGAGAAGGAGCTGTTGGGGATGGGAAGTGGTGTTCCAGGAGCAGCAGCTGTCCCAGCACTCACCTCCAGAGGTGCTGCAGCTGGCTGGCAGGATACTGGAATGTTCCCCCCCGTGCCACAGCCAAGGTGCTCAGCACTTCCACGTCGTGGAGTATTCGCTCACACTCCCGATTGCCCTTCTTTATCTGGGGTCACAGCAAGGGGAGAAGGAAGATCCTTAGGAAATGGGTCTGCTAGGAGAGGGTCTCTCCCACGAGCAGCCCAAGCACTGCTCCAGAGCAGGAAGGTTGGTGCCAGGAGTTTATCATTCCCAGAGAATTATTTTTGAACAGAATGGTTTGGGTTGGAAGGGACCTTAAAGATCATCTGGTTGCAACCCCCCTGCATGGGCAGGGACACTGGACCAGGTTGCTCAGAGCCCCAGATCAAACTGAAATTCCCAGCACAGGACACAGACTCCCCTGTCTCAGCTCTCACCTTCCTCCCCTTCTTCTACCTCTTGACCCAAGCTCTGCAACTACCTGCTGAAGTGAAGGATGCAGCAGCTACTGACCAAGCTCCCACATCCAGGCTTCCTTCTCCCCCCCACCCCCTTTGAAGAAAGTCTGTCAGCAGATCTGCCTTTTGGAGTCCTGCCTACCAGGTGGATCTCACTGCTGAGACCCAAAGGGCACTGCCCAAACCCTGGAGCAGTGGGGAAGAGACTGAGAGTGGCCTGTCCCCCCACCCTGTGCACAGTCACCTGGGCCTGGGTGGTGTAGGTGCCGTTGTGCAGCTCCAGGAAGAGCTCTCCCACCCAGGTGCAGAGCTGGGAGGACTCCTTCTCCAGGACAGAGAAGAGCTGGTCAGGAGTGGAGAGCTGAACCCTGTGGGAGATGCCAAAACAGCCCTGAGCCAGGGGAGGAGCCCATGATGTTGCCATGAGCAGGCAGGAGAAGCCTCAGAAACCCCAGCACAACCACACACCCCCCACTCCCCCCTCTCTCCCACTCTGTACTGCTCTCTCTGCCATGGGGACAGGGACATTCTCCAGGCAGGGACAGGCTGCTGGGCTGGTCACTCACCCCACAGCTCAGCTGAGGGTTCCTGAGCAGTCAGAGGCCACCCCATGTGCCTGCTCCTACAGCCCTTGACACTGGGAGGCTCTGTCTCCCCAACACTCCTTCCTGCTTGCCCTCCTTGGCACACCCTTTCCTTGGGCAGCCCAGCTCACAGCCAAGTGCTCCCAGAAGGAGGGAGGAAGGGACCTCTCCTCTCACCTTGGCAGCCCATCTGTGTCCCTCATTCTTTTCATCCTGTCCAGCATCTTCTGCGTGGGGCCCCCTCCTCCATCTCCAAAGCCAAAGAGGAAGGCACTGTGGTTCACACGTCCTTTGTCCTTGTTGTTCTTCACCGTTTTCAGCATCTGGAGGGGAATTTTGGGTGGCTGCAATCCCCTGGTGCCCAACCCCAGCTCCCACAGCTCCTCACAAAAAAGCCAGGTAAGCCTTTGGGGTGCAAAGCTCAGCCCTGTCCCTTTTCCCCACCCCCAAACTGCCAAAATCAGGCACGGACCCATCCCCGAGGCAGGTCACCCCAGCAGCCCACCCAGCAATGCTGCCAGCTGTCCCACTCCCTTCCCAGGCTGTGCCCTCTCCTAGGAGCCAGGGATCTGGCCCTGAGGGGCTGGCACTGCAGTATCACAGGCTCATTCTGGTTGGAAAAGACCCTCAAGATCATCGAGTCCAACCACTGCCCTAACTCTGCAGTGTCCATCCCTAAACCCTGTCCCCTGGCACCACATCTCTCTGGTTAGATGTCTCCAGGGATGGTGGCTCAATTGCCTCCTCAGACAGCCTGGATCACCCAGTCCAACTCCTGCCCCTGCAGGTCTGGTAACCTCACTCACCTCCTCCACTCGCCCCTGCATCCCATAGGAGTCACCAGGAGGGAAATGGGTCAGGACTCGGGAACCATCAATGCCTTCCCAGAAAAAGGTGTGATGCTGGAGAAGAGCAAAGAAGCCTGTTGTCTCATCCAGCCCCTTGGACATCCCCTTCACCATGGCAGGGGACAGCAGAGCAGAGGCTGGCTTTGCTGCCTGCTAGACCTGCAGGCAAGTCACAGCTTCCCATCTGGAAGCAGAAGGAATTTGTAAGGCAAGAGGCCCAACTGGGATCTCTAACCATGTCCTTCCTCTCCCCTACAGCCTGATAGGACCTCGGTGCCACCATAAGCTGGTGGCCTCCAGAAAAAGAGCCTGTGTCAGCTGAACTGGCTCAGCCTGTGGAACCACCAGGCCCAGCCCTGCAACCACGAGTCCACTCCCTGGGCAGGAGGGCAGCTCAGCTCACCGGGAAGGTGTTCACCAGGTTCCAGCTGAGCTTCTGCGTGAGGAACCTCCTGATCCCACAGCCACGCATCAGCTGGGGCAGCTGGGCTGAGTATCCAAATGTGTCTGGGAGCCAGAACTGGGAGCAGAGGTGACAGCAGAGCAGAGGGAGAGAGACACACGTGAGTCCCACCGGCCACAAAGCACAGCCTGAGCTCCTGAAGGCTTTTCTTGCTGGTCATTCTCTGAGTCCTTCTCGCAGAGGGAACCAGATGTGCTAACAAGGAGCAATTCTAGAGACCTGCCAGGGTCCCACAAGCAAGATGACCACAGCCTGGGGCTGGGCCAGCTGCCACTGCAGGTGGGACACGAGATATTTACTCGTCACAGCTTTAGCTGCAAAATGCTAAATGAAAATAAAATCCAAATGAGACACCTGACCATCCCGTCTGGAGGGGGAACCAGAGAGAAACCCTCATGCATGGTGAGGGGGGGCAGGAGAGGGTGTGCAAGGAGGGTGTGCTGGGAAAGAGGCAATACCTCTGAGCAGATCTGGCCAAACTGCTGCTGGAAGAAGCGCTGGCCCTGCAGGAACTGCCGCACCATGGACTCCCCGCTGGGCAGGTTCCCGTCCTGAGGGCAAGCACAGGGACTCATGGAACCCCAGACTGCTTTGGGTTGGAAGGGACCTTGAAGACCATCTAGTTCCAACATCACAGGGACACCTCCCACCAGCCCCGGCTGCTCCAAGCCCCATCCAACCTGCCCTTCAACACTGCCAGGGAGGGGCCAGCCACAGCTTCCCTGGGCAACCTGGGCCAGGCTCTCCCCGCCCTCCCACTCCACAATTCCCTCCTCATGTCTCACCTCAATCTCCCTCTTCCAGTTTTAATCCATCCCCCCTTGTCCTCTCCCTCCCTGCCCTTGTCCCAGGTCCCTCCCCAGCTTTCCTGGAGCCCCTTCAGGCACTGGAAGGTGCTCTAAGGTCTCCCTGGAGCCTTCTCTTCTCCAGGCTGAACACCCCAACTCTCCCAGCCTGGCCCCAGAGCAGAGCTGCTCCAGCCCTTGGAGCACCTTGGTGGCCTCCTCTGCAGCCCATACAGCAAGTCAGGAGCTGTTGAAGGGCAGGTCTGGCAAGTGCCCCATTCCCATTCGCTGACATCCTGACACAGCAGAGCATGGGGACAATATGAACAGAGTTCAGCTGGTCCAGACCAAAGCTCCTTTCTCAGGGAATGAGACAATTTGGGGGAGAGATGGTGTTTTCCCTAGGCTAGACACTGCAGAGCCCTGCTATGCTCTGGGCCTGGAGCCCATGGCCAGCCAGGCAGGCTGAGCAAAGCCCCTGCTCTCCCCCTCTGCTGCCCGAGGGCTGGGGTGGGCAGGGTGCAGGGAGCCAGGCTCACCACAGCTTCTCACCATTTCCACCCAGGTTCCTCCGACAGGAATGAACTGTCCCTTGGCCACCAAGTCCCGGATCCGTGCGTAGAGCCCCGGGTACCAGCTCTGCACCCACTGGAACTGCTGTGCCTGCCAGAGCACAGGAGAGCAGCCTCAGCTCCCACCTCCCTGCCCCACAGCCCCCCCTGTGTCCCCTCTGCAGCCCCAGGGGACCCCCCCAGCCACCCCCTGGCCCCCTGGCCTTCAGTCACAAAGCCACCAGCAGCAGGAGAGCTGCCCAGAGGGAGCCCCCTCACCTGGGAGCAGGTGAAGGTGAGCTGGGGGTTGCTCTCCATCAGGTGCACCACGGTGACCCAGCTCCGGGCACACTTCCTGATGGTCTCCTCGTAGGGCCACAGCCAGGCTGGGGGCACGGACAGACAGACAGACAGACAGACAGACAGACAGACAGACAGACGGCCCTGCCAGGGTTACTGCTGAGCACAAGCTCCCTGGGGGAACTGGGATCTGCTGAGGGAAATGCCCAAGCAAAACGCTGCCCTTGGGCTACATGTTGGACAGGCTGGGCTCCCCAGGTCCTGCTTCTCCTGTTCTACTGAAACCCCTGCAGGGGCTGGGAACTCAGGGGTCCAACAAGTTTCAGGAGAAACTGAAATCCAACAAGTGGAAGAGAGTAGCCCCTAATTTCTCCCTCACCACCAGCCCTCCATACCACCCAGCCAGACAAGTCCCCCTGCCTTGGTGACAGCCCAGCTGCACAGCAGCACAGGGGTCCCCTTCCCTTCCCTCAGGGCACAATACCCAGGATGTGGGGCTAAAGGACAGCCAGCTCTCCCCTTGGGAAGCACACCCTGGCCTGCAGGTCAGTAGAGAGGGAAGGCTGTGCTGCTCTCACCAGAGTCAATGTGGCAGTGCCCCATGGCATGGATGGTGTGCTGGCTCTGGCCATTCCTCTGGCTGAAGATCACTGCAGCCAGGTCACGGGCAGCAGGGAAGGTGGAAGGGTCTGTCACATCACACACGTTGATCATCTGGTTGGCAGTGTACAGTGCCTGGAAACTCCTCTGGTTCTCCTCCCCGAGGAGCTGGGGTTGATAAGAGCTGAAGTCAGGGTTCAGCACATCCTCGGGCTCAGAGCAGCTCTCCACACCAGCTCCTGTGCCACCTGCCTCTGGGAGAACCTGCCACCTTCCAACCTTCCCAGAGGGGCCAGCTAAACACCATGTCCCTGCCTCACAGACACAAGCCATGGCTTTGCTCATGTGCCTTCTAAAGGCAGATGACACATAATCCCAACCCAGGGGGCTCTGGTCTGACAGGTCCTGCCCTGGAGCAGAAAGTGGATGAAGAGACCACCTGTGGCTTCTCTGTTCAGTTTTCTCCTACTCTAGACAACATAAATTGTGCAAATGTTTGCTCCTCCAGAGCCTTCTGGTGGGGAGGAGACAAGTCAAGGAGCAGTGGGAGGAGGGAATAAAATGAAGTTGTTGAAGGAGGTGGAAAGGCTGAGAGAAGGGAAGGGAGTGAGCTCACAGACCTGGGCCATGTCCAGCAGTATTTCCAGATCTACCAGCAGCTCGTAGACATCCCTGTTGAAGACGACCAGCTCAGCCTTGCTCAGGGTGAATCTCCTGTCAGGGTCTGGAGGAGCAATCATGCTGCCCTTGCCAGCTCCAAAGAGACCATTGCAGGCCAGCTCCACGTACAGTGTCAGGCTGGAGAGCAGAGGGACACATCAGGGAGCAGAGCACCAGGAACCAGCCAGGAAAGTCCACTCTCCTCCCTGTGGTGGGACTGGCCTGATCTGAGCAGCAGACAGAGCCCCTGAACACCACATCCTACTCACAGCACCTGGACACAGACAAGGATGTCTCAGCTTGATCTCTTAGCTTCAAACCCCACAGGGCTCCCCCAGTGGCAGGGAGACCGTGGGGCTCCAGCCATGCTGACCACCCACCTGTGAGGCTCCAACCATGCTGACCACCCACCCATGAGGCTCCGGCTCTTCTAACCCC